TTTTTTTTTTTTTTTTTTTCATTGCTGCTGTAAAATAATCTCACTAATTGACAAAAAAATAATTTTTCGAACTATTCATCTACACAAGAAGGCGATACTACGTTATGTATGAGCAACAAAAACAACACTTGGCTTTCTCCTTGTATATTGTTGTTGACGTATGAGAGACGAATATCTTCCTATTATAGAGACCATGCACAAAAAATTGTTTACACTTTGGCTCATCTTAGTGAGAAAGTGTTATTAAATGATACAGTGAAAATCGAGAAAGATCCATCTTTATATTTTGTTCTTCATATGGTAACCCGGAGATTACAAAAGAATATTTCATTTATAAAATAAATTTGCAATATATTGTTTTATTAGTTACTCATAGTGATAAAAATCTAATACCACTTGATTCATAAATAAATAAAAACCATCCGTCTAGTTTCCTCTTTCAATACATTTATTCAATAAGAGCAGAAAAATATGTCATCATTATAAAATAAATTCACAAAATATGGGTGTGGGTGTGGGGTGTGGGTGTGGGTGTCAGTTGAGAGAAGATAGAAACTCACACTCACACCTAGACCCACACCTCACACCCCGCACCCACACCCACCCCACCCCCCCCCCCCCCCCCCCCCCCCCCCCCCCCACATCCACCCCCACCCCCACCCCCACACCCACCCACACCCACACCCACACCCACACCCACACACCCACACCCAAGCTCTACAATTTCTATAAGACCGCTTATTTTCTAGTTGCACATTTTGTTCTTAAAATAGACTAAATTTTGAGCGATCAAATTTGGACCATGAAAAAAGACAATGTTTTTGATACACGGCGAATTCATTTTTGTTATCTGATCATTTTATCACCTAATATGCTTTATTAAAAGAAAAACAAAATACACAAGATGATGCAGCGTGAACAGCTCTACAATCTACATAGTAAGGTTTATTGTAATTGTTTTGTAAAAAAGGAAAATCCCATACAACTAGTTTTTACAACGGCCAAAGTTCGATTACTCAAAACTTTGTCCATTTTGAAAACAAAAAGTGCAACTAGAAAATAAGCGGTCTTATGAAAATTGTAGAGCCTTTCACGCTGCATCTTATGGAATATTTTGGTTGTTAATAAAATCTATTAGTGGACTAAAATACTAACCCGTCTGACTCATTGTGAGCTAGTACAACGAGCAAACATGTTAACGAAAAACGTTTTATCAAAAATTTTTTATCATGATATTAGTTAAAGTATGATCAAATAGCATAGAAAAATAGAGTGAAAGACGCTCTATCTATCCATAAGAAAAAGAAAATTTTTTTTCCTTATAATAAGGAAAAACGACCATGATGACACTACTTTTGGAATGCCCTAAGTATATAAGGAGTTGCCAATTTTTCAGCATGCTATTGTAACCTAACTCATGGTCCTTCATTTCTCAAAAAATTATTGAACGTTCAATGGTATTCTATAGTTTTTATGCATATCCATATATTCAGTAAAAGTTATCTAGTTCGTCAATAGCTTGATGAATTTCGATAAAATTTTTATTAGAAATAGCAGCTATAATCTACTATGGACTACCTACAGAAGCATTCTTAGATGTTTAACTCTCATAGGAACTAAGATAGGAAAATGCGATTACTTTTGTCTAGTGTAATGTAGTCGGGTGAAAGTTATAGGAGATTGAAGAGTGTCAATAGGTTTAGCTTCATATAACATCCTTTCAAAAAAAAATCCTTTATGTGATTTCTTTCATATGAAATTAGGGATGCCTCAGTCTTAGTCGCGACTAGAGGACTAGCGTAAACCTACATGAAATGCAATATAAGTCTGATCTATCAAAAACTTATTTAACGTTAATTTTAGTTATTCACTTGATAGATCTAAGAAATGATTCTGTATTTTGAACATTCGCTCTCAAACCTATCTAAATGTTGCTTAATTGATAAAAGAAAATGACAAATAGAAGTCATTCATACCTGATATAATCGATGGAATTCCATTGGAAAAACTTTTGGAAGATGTCGTTTGAGATATCATCGTCGACGTTGATGGAGAATATGTACTTGGCTTATGGACGATAGAAGGAGACTTCGGTTCGTTCGATTTGGAAAATGGTGGTTTAACAAGTGGAATCAGTGGTGTAATTTCTCTCAATTGAATAATATGAAGTTCGGCTGCAGGATTTAATTGGCCGATCACTTCAAAATATCAACCTGGTATAAGAACGATTTCTTTTTCAGCATTTTTGAAATACGAATGTGCTACAATAGATTTTCCATTGATACATTCAATTGAAAAGAGAGTACGTTGTCCATGTTTACCCAAAAATTGATCAGATTCAAGTACTTCAATATAAGTAGTACAAGAACTTACTTCCCACCATGTAAATTTTGTACCAGTTTTATATTTTGAACTTAAATCAATACCTCGAACACCACGCCATACTATTCCACTTTTTGATTGCAGTTTGTATAGACCAGTAAGAAATAACTTAAGAAAAGAGAACCATGGTTTTAATTCTTCACGATTTTTAGAACGTAATGATTGATTAAGTAAAAGATATAAACTTGGACCACCATCAAATTGCATTGTATCCAGATGAATAGAAGCTGATTCATCTTGAGTTAATCCATCAGCTGGATTTCGACAATTGTGTAATGCAACGAAAACATTGTCTTCAATTTCATTAAAAAAACTAGAAATAGGTTCAATAGCCTCAGCAAGTGAAACAAGAGGTTTATTTTGATAGCCTTTTATCGGAGACAAAAGATGATCTACAGGCTCATTGTAAAGATCAGTGAAACGAGATTCATCGACAGATTGTATTGCCTTGGCCATAGAATGTATTTCAATTCACAGCATGGAAAGAATAAACGTCAAAAACCTAGAAAAAAAAAGATAATCGAATTATGATTGTTTTATTTCTATTTTAAAAAACATTGAAATATAATGTTGAGACAGCAAAACAAAAACAAAACATAGTTTGATGTTTTAATCTAATATGTTTTCTTATGAAAGCGCTTATCATAGAATTCGATCGACAGAAATTGATATTTCGATTGGGCAATGAGCAATTTAGAGATATTTTCGATCTCTAATAGAAACATTATTGACAAAAGTGAAGATGTGGATGTGAACGGCGGTGAAAAATAGTAACACTCACGTCCAATCCGTACGATTTAGATTGTTGGTTTCATAGATTTTTAAGCATTACTTAGAAAAATGGATGCTGCTTACACATATTTGCTTTTAATTCACAATCTTTCATCAACTACGATAGTTTATCAACTCGTTTCAATAATATGGCAACAATAGAGCTTCGATAATATTTTACTCGTAGTCAAACTTACAGTTTTGTTACCACAGTAGCATTGCAATTATTACCTCCTGTATGTAGCAGCACATTTGTAAGGAAAGAGAATACGAATGTCGATTTTTCTTTATCAACGAAAAATTTTCAAAATAAACAAATGCATTGAAAAGGGAGAGAAGAATTTCAAGCAAAAGAAAAAGAATTGCTTTTCTATGCAGCACTTAAAGAGCAAACAATGCATTTGAATTAATACTGCTTGCTTTTGCTTTTGTAGAGCATGATGTTAAAGAAGTCATGCAGCACGTAAGAAGTAAAGTGAAAAATGCCGCTTTTCAAATCTCGTTGCAAACTTCACACCAATCATCTCGACAGACTGCTCGAGTGATCATATCATTAGGCATATGTAAAAAAACAATAATGGTATCGAGTATTGGCTATGAAGTAGATATTGAAGTATCAGCATAGATATGTCATTATTGCTCCATTGATCCTGACTAGTGTTTTCTTTGTATATTATTATCATGAGTACCTGACATATCGTTAAGCGCTGCAAGAAAACTTTTAAAATACTAAAACAAACGACAATTATCCATTTCATATGCAAATTCATACCAATGCCCAAGAATATCAATATCAATACCGACAACGGTGTGGGTGTGAATCTGTGTTCTTCTTTAAACACACCCACACCCTTGATGATAGTGAAATTTTTCTCGATTGAATGTGGGTATTTATAAGAGATGTGATGGAATCGATATACATCCATACTCTCAAGTGCCTAGCAATAATTTATTACTCATGACATGAACACTTCACATATTTTAACATCCGTATGTTGATTGGTGAAGAAAAAAACCCGTCAACATGTTCACATGTAATTTTCTTCCTCGGAAAAAAAATTAAAAAAGTTGCATGCAAGCAGCTAAAAGAAAAGAGAAACATCCACACCCTTATGCTGCACTAATGAAACATACTCCGTACCAATACGGCAAAAACATCAACAACAAGAAAAGACATAATCACAATAAATTACGACTTCTTTTGCTATTTCAACATATTAACTCTTATTTCGTGCTGACCTAGCGAAATTACAAATATTCATAAACAAACTCGTTCACGTCCTATTTGTATTA